ATGACAAAATTGAAAATGGTTCATTGTTCACCTAACGTGTAGCAAACTCATTCGGGCAAAACGTGAAAAAAATCCAAATTACCCTTAAGAGTTTTGTCTCGATCAATCTCGATCCCCCCACAGATACCCAAGCAAACGCGTCAAATATCACCAAATCAGCAGAAAACAGTTACAAATTACGAAAAATGTAGGAACCTATGCCGAAAAAAGCGTCAAATCGCCAAAAATAAATTAAAAAAATATACTGAAGTAGAACAAGTAAAATTTCATATGTGAATTAGTGCTACAGAAAGGTACAAAAAGCAGACTTTCCCGTATTAGTTTTCTATTTTCTTTGGTTTCGGTCAGCTATTCGGTCTTGCCACACTCTTGCCAGCTGCCATCTATCGCCGCTCAAAGTACATTTTTTTGAAATTTTCTTAATTTTTGGTTTTTGAATTGGATCCGTTTTTAAGAAAATGTCGTTTAAGCGCTACTGTAAATTCGAAATTTGAAGATCTTTTTCACATAAAATATTTGAGTTTTCGAAAAATTTCATTGGGAGACATTTGAAACACTTTACTCACAAATACAATAGTGTTTACAAATTGTTGAAAATGTGCATATTTAACAGCATGAGAGATTTTTGAAGCAAAATAATATTAACTTTACGACATATTAAAGATTGTAATTAGCACTATCAGTTCGAAAAGTTTAAAGAAAAAATGTGGGGCTTTTTTGAGAAATGGCGTTTGAGCTTTTCTGAAAAAGAGATTTTGAGCAATATTTTATGGAAAACAGTAGAGTTTTCGAGAAAATTTATGACATTAATGTGAACAAATCGTCGCTAATGTAAATATTAACAACATGAGAGACAAGTAGAAAAATTAAACTTTTGTAATATTTGAAGGAACAAAAGAATACAGCAATATAGCGTTCATGCCATCTCACAGAGTACATTAGGCACTATCCTTACCAAAAGTTTAAAGAAAGAAATTACAGCCCTTTTTTAGAAAATCTTGTTTTTGTTATTTTTTAGAAATGCATATATTGCATGCAATTTTGCGTGAAAACTACTCAAATTTTCAAAAAAAATGAACATGACCTCAATATGGAAAACACATTTTATTTGAAGGGTAGTCGAACTTTTAGTCTAAATCAGGCATGTCAAGGTCGCGGGAAAGGTAACAAGCTTACTAGAGCTCGCGGGCACTGCGTCCACAGAAATTGGCGCGAGATTTAAAAGTAAGGGTTGTACAAATCTCCCCGGAGTAGCGGTACGTCACTGGATACTCGTCTACGACCGTCTTTACGAGCAGTTAATGCTAGAAATTTAGCTACATTAATTCCCGTTTTTTCTTTAAAGCTAAGAAATATCCATTAAAATGAAATTTTGCTGTCAGATTTCTAATTCTCAATTGAGAGTAAAGTTTAAAAACATTGTATCAAAAGAATCTTCATTTTGTAATCCTGCTTACTGAAGACTGATATAAAAGCATGAACTTTCTACGTTTAGGTTAGAAGGTTTAACAGACATATTCCTATCTGTTAAAAGCGCTGTCCGCCTGTAAGCGAGGATAGCGGGTAACGTTCTGAGACATGTTAATTTATTTTACATTATTGCTAAATACAATAAATAACTGAATGATTTAATAACACAGGACAAAACGAAAATACGTAAAGAATTCGCCATTCAAACATATTTATTGCTTAGCAAAGATGTATATAGAAGGGGGATTTTGAAAGAAAATAAACATCAAATGGTAATAAGTAGCGAAGAATATAAACATAATACTGTTCGGTTATTTGATAGAAAAAATCTGTCAAACATATTTGCGTATAAAGCCACTATTCGCCGCCTCGCGCCGCTTCAGCTTGCGCTTGTACACCCCTTTTCTGGATTATAAGGGGAAATGCGTGCGGAGTCGGGGGGAGTTGCCCCTGGCCGTAGGAGCGAAGGGCTCCCCAGACGGGCAAGTAGCTCGTGCGGGCGCGGTTTCACGTGACTGGTCTGAATGTTTGCCAAGCGATCTCACTTATTCTCCGATTAAAATTGATCTTCGCTCGGTGACTTAAGAGGGGGCACTTTTCCAATATTCAATTTCAAAACTTGAAGATACCCAATGGATAATAGTATCACCTCTCCTATCACACCAAGGGTAAAGAAATTGTAATTGGAGAATATGTAACTCAGTGTTGTCCAACTGGCGGCCCGCGGGCTGCATTGCCGTTTATGCTGAGCCCTCTCTGTGGAGTTTTGTGAACGCACGTTCACCCCACTGCGGTGCGACTATTCCTACCCTTACAGGCATCTACGGCCAATCCTGCAACATAAAGAAAAACAGAAGGTCGAAAACGACTATAGCCAACTAGCGCGCGCATTGCGTTTGTAGAAATACTAAGTTTATGTTTCAAGTCTCATTTCTCTGTTTCTGATTACTCTTACTCCAGGAAATGCTTCGGTTGTCTACGCTTCACCCGTTGATAGGGTTGGTATGAGGCGGTATCGGAAATGAGAGAGTATTCCGAGTCAGTTGCTTTTTCAAAAAAAATTAGACACAATATTTGTGATATGATCAATCAAGCAGCAAGTGTAAATACTTAATGGGAATGTATCTAGGGGCGCAGAGGGTGGTCCTGAGGCATTCGTTGCCCTGCCATTTATTGTGCCCCGCGAAAGGTATTTATATTGCGATTTTTCCAATTCTGCTCCAGACAGATATCAGCTGTTGCGCAATCGGGAGCTCGACAGTGACATCACTATGCTGGGCAGGGACAGGGGAAGAGTTGGAAAATTCGCAGTACAGTCAACCATGTCGGGCCCCTAGCGCACGCGCCCTGCTGGGACCAACACTCCCTTTAATATAAATATAGGATAAGTTTTGATTAAAAGATTTTTTTCTAGGAAACTCAGAAATTAAAAATCGTTCCAATTTGATTCACTGTGTTACGGCCTCATATCACGCATGGTTCCAACCCCCCCCCCCCTATTTCAGAGCAGCCACACAAAGTGCCGACGTCCACATTATGAAGAAGTTAGGTGCGGAAAATATGGCCCGCAAGGATATTGAAGGTTTTAGTTGTGGCTCTCGAGGACTTGCCAGTTGGACACCCCTGATCTGATTGCTTGTTAACTTCTCTTGGGGCAATTTAATTCAAGTAAAAACCTAACTCATTGTGAAATAGGCTCTTAGCAACTATTACGGCCGTGTTTCAATACACATTATCTCATGATTGACATTTGATTTGCAAGGGTCAGCCAGAAGTGGGAAGAATTCACGAAAGAGTGGTTTAAAACCGAACAGAATATACAATATGTTGTTTTTTATTTAGAATTATTTTTGAAAAAAAGCCAGTAAAAACTGTGTAAGTCTATTGGGGAAATGCGCACGTATTCTTGAGGTCCAGAATCCCTCCCCTCCCCCGCCCTTTAACTACTATAAATACTAATTGAATGATGAATAAAATTACCAACAAAGCGAGGCAAAATAGAAAAACAAATTTTCGCTAATAGAAAACTATTTTGCAACGGTAAACGAAATACAGACTTGATTTTTATCGAATTGTAATCAAAATCACAGCCATCACAGCCCCCGCTCTACTCCCACCACCACAAGTGAAAGAAGTTCAACAAAAGGTGTACATGGTGAAGCTATATTTAGTTAAAGTAATGTACGGAAAATTGCGAGAACTGGGTAATAATACAATATTTAAAAGCACGGACAAAAAGGGCGGACAAACACTAGGAAGTCTCTTAATTTGTTGGCATTTAGCGTGAACACATTAAGTAAACGTAAAATCGGAGAAATTACCAGATGTCTCTCGGTTCTGTTATCTCGTAGAATATAATGTGTATTGTAATGGCAAAGGCAAGTTGAATCGAAATACTTTCCCAAATAAAAGCAAACTGGAGAAGAAGCCATAGGACAGACAATCCATGCCGTTGGAGGGTTGGTAAGGGGAAGGAGGAATTTTAGGGGCCGAGGGATTGGTGGGGGGAAACCCTACAAGACCCCAAGCTCGAAGGAAATGCATACACTGCCGAGTTTCCATAGTCAAGTCCCAGTGAGCTCTCTGAGGTGATACACTCGTTATGTTCAGCACTTCAACACATGAACCAACATATTTACACACTTGGTTTTTTATTAAAACCATAAAAACCTACCTGTTCATATTTTTATATTTTTGTACTTTTTACTTGTTTACAATCCCAATCTAGTTTGTTTCCATACACATATGTGCATATGTACAATGGACAGCAAACATTTATTGCTAGTCACATTACAGACTCTTATCTATATGGTTTCTCTTCAATAGATATTTATTATTTTCTGATCAAAACTATCCACAAAAAAATTCATGAATGCTAAAAAGTATAAATGAAACTAACATATAACAACATTGGTATTTTTACAGGTTCAAAGTAACGCTCAAGTAAATTTCTGTAATGTTTGATGTGTACAAAAGATAATTTTTAAAATATTCAAAAGTTTATATTTAATTCTGTCTTTCAATGTCAACAGAAATGTCTTTCGCGTCATAAAAATTGCAAAATGTAATGGAGAGCTAACTGCGCATAAAGAGGGGAACCTGCACATAGAATTCAAGAAAGCAGAGAAAAGCAAGAGGCTGAGAGGCAAGGAAATGACAGAGTTACAAAGGTGAAATGAAAGGGGACATTACTAAGGTTTCAGATCCATTCTGATTCAAAAGCAACACGTCTGCGCAGTTTGGTCAATAATATTACCCCCACTTTGCCTGTCATTCCACTTCACCCCCACTTTTTCACTCCTTCTCTGTCTTCCCCCACCCTCTCTTCACACACTCTCAACACACACACACACAAACACCAGGCATGTACAGATGTATACATTCCCTCAGTTCAGCGGCAAGGTAAAAACAAGAAACTAGGAACTTCTAAAAACTGACACTACTGCAGGAGAACACATACAATATGAATATCATGGACTTGTGATGTTTGCGATAGTGAAGTGTTGACAATTGCATTACAACAACAAAATATTTAATTTTCCTTCGTTGAGGAGACAAAATACTGTACATTTTTTATCTTGTATTTGGTGCTTCAGTAAATATTAAAAATTGTGATAGTACAGTTGAAGAGGTCTTCTTTGTTCATTTTACTTAAATCATTTTTTCATCGAACAATAAAACTATTCTTCAAGAAAATGGAAATGAAACCATTAGTGGATATGACAGAACTTCAAACTATAAGGACATCATCAAGCAGTAATAGTGGATATTCAATAAATGGTTTACTTAATTCTCTGTCCAATAATGCAGTGGATCCTTTGGTTTCTTCAGCGGTAGGTTTGCTTCCAACTGCAACAACTACCGTGTCAACATTAATGGGCTCTTTCTCATCATCACCAAAATTCAGTAAGTAAAATATTGGAATAAGAGAAGCTGAACAGCTTATTTGCAGAAATATTACAAATAAAATTCCTCAAAATTTCTAATTTCCGTCCTCACAACAATGATTGTTTTTAGAAAATTATTTCTAATGTTAGTAAATAATTATTATTTTATTTAATTTCATTTTTGACTGAGCTTACTCATTTAAACCATGATCTGTAGGCATGATATCAATTTCTCATGATCACCTACTGGCCATGCCTCTTATCATGATTTAACTCTACAATTTCTTAATATTTGTCAGAAATTAAACAGAAATATGTTTCGTATATTTTTTCAACAAACTCATCACAATTTATGCATCTATATCAACACACACTCGAGCATGAAAATATTGAAAAATCCAACACCATGCACACCTCCAAAAAATGTAGAATGTCAATTTAAAATTTGTATGCACAGTTGACAGAGTATATGAATCAAATCCCCCGAGTCACAGTACAATAAATTTCAGATAAAAAAGCTTAATTCTTCTAAATGTTACACTTCACGCACTAGAAAAATAAAGTATCAGAAATTAAGTTCGTGATTTATAGCACTCAAATGTACATTTCTTCAGAGGAGCAATGTCCAAACAGCTGGTGACACTTACTAGCTAAGACTAAACCCACTTCTATTCTTTCCGTGTATCTATCAAGTTATTTCTAAATGCATTAAAGGTCCCCTCCCAGCAGCAGGAGGGGCCCAATCCTTAGTTACTGCCAAATATAGTTAGTCAAAACCAATAGTGATGTAAGTTAATTAGGGAAAGTAGGGGTGAATAGAAAAGATGAGGCATGAAAGATGACAGGAAATGCCCACATCTGCAAAATTTAAAAGCTTATTTTCCAATTTGACTTAATTTATTCTGGCTTCTACATTGTTAAGACATACTCAAATAGGGAAAGATGACAAAAAGGAAACAAAAAATTTTAAAAATATTAGTAATTATTTTTTTATACTTAGTTTGGGAAAAAGTAATGGTCCAACAACATTGCAAATATATTTTTTGCTTCTTCAACTGTTACATTGTTATCGATTAGACAGAGAGTTAATTGAAACTATCTTCCTTAAGTAATTTTTCTGCTACCAAAAACAACAGAAAAGACAAAAGTAGAGATTAAGTGATTTTCAAGACAAAAGTGTAACATCGAGAAATAAATTCATGTACAGAAAATCAATCCTAATGTACGGGAAACATGGTTCATATTATTTAAAGCAACGAAACTTACAATACAATATGTAAAAATGATATCAACGATGATAATAATAATAGTTAATATTATTAATATGATTATAATTAAATAACAATAATAATAATTATTATTATTATAATGATCACCACCATCATAAATATATTAAATATAAAGTATCCATGCAAGTTCAATACACTGTAGATTCATTAGACATTTCCTTTTATTGTGAACAAATACTTAGAAATGTGAAATCAAAGACCTACATTTCCTCATGATGCTAATATTTAATCATATCCTAAAATATCATCTTATTCTGACCTTTTTTACAGTGAAATTTATATCCACACATGTATTAGAACAGTCTGCATACTGGTAGCCTAATCATTTTACAATGTTTGTAGAATACATTTTCTCCAAAATAAAACTTTCAATTAATGACCACATTAAAACAATATTGATATCTCTTAAACAAATTAATTTTCTTGAATCAAATTACTTTGCTTATATATTAATTCCCATGCCACAAAAATGGTGATAGTTTGATAACACTAAACTTGTTCTATTAAGAGTTTGTTCAAAAACAAATTAGCAATTGAAAAAAATTACATCATAACTGGTTATTTAAATGAAAGAACATATTGCTCCTGTTTAACTGTCTACTGGTATAAAAATTATATTTCTATCTACATTACATTTAACCATTTATCTTAATACTGATAGCATGCAGTCTATTGAAAAGATATTATTAATTTTTAGGAAGATGGAAAACCACAAATGTCTTTCTTTTCAACTTTCTCTACAAATATTGAAAAGAACTTTCAATTCAAAATTGTGTTTACAATTACTTATTTTATTTACAGCCTATACAGACGCAGTATTAGGAGGGCCATCGGCCAGTTCTCTTGGTGGTGCTAGTGGGCCAAGTTCACCCCTCAGTATTTCAACACTACCAACAGATATTAGGCCAACAGGTGGGCCTGTGAAAAGAAAGCAACGCCGATACAGGTATTATTTTCACCTACAGAGTTTGAACTCTAACTTTAAAGATATTTGTCTGTATCAAAACATTCAACAAATGTAATATAAACTGAACTTTCATAAAAATACTCACTTTTGTTAAGTAGTTTATAATTACTTATTAATCAAAACTGCAAATAGGGTTTAGATAAGTTAATAATCCTCCTTTATTTATTAGCAAAGAAATATTTGCTATCCGTTAAACTGGTTAAAATTCATGTAGGTGATTAAACAAATTCCAATAATTCAGTGTGCATCATTTACTGCACAAAGACCTTTTGTTTTTACAGTAAATATCTGTAATGAATGAACTCTTAATAAGAGTGTAACATGGTAATATTACCTTTTCTTTATATTCATAAGAGGTATAAAAAAATGTTTCAGGTGTTTGAATCATACATACATAATGTCTTGTATTATAAAATATTCTTAAATATTATATGTTTCTTAGACATTGAGTTCACAGAATCATAAGTTAATTTCAAGAACCCAAGATATCACAAAGGGCAAAATGTTTACAGGACAACATTCAGCAATTTCCAACTGGAAGAATTAGAAAGAGCATTTCATAAAACTCACTACCCAGATGTCTTTTTCCGAGAAGAACTGGCAATGAGAATTGATTTGACTGAAGCTAGAGTCCAGGTATATAAACACTGGATTTAGATAACTCTTTCACAAAAATTGTTGTACCTAGTACAAACACAGCCCAAAGCACAAAAAGGAAATTCTGGCAAAACTTGATATTTGTAAATTTACAAATATTTGCAAAAGTACATTCATTTCAGAAAAAATTAAAATGATCTTTATATGTACACTACAAAGTAAGGTACAAGAATACTGAATTTGCCACTTGGTGTATTAATGTTAAATGCATGCAAATATGATAAAATCCCAAAATTGATCAAGGTGTGCTTTAGGCCCGTGTTATTCTAAACATCTCAATATTATTTTCAGTACTTTTACCAACACTTCAATACCACTATATTTTATTCAACAATTACATTTCATAATCATGAATAAACTAGAGATCTTTACTGCGACTAATTATTAATTAAATTACCCTGGTGTGGGAGAAGGTGTGGTTTCAGAATCGCCGAGCGAAGTGGCGGAAGCAGGAAAAACTAGCAGCTAAACAACATCAACAAATGAATCAACAACAAGCACTAGTTCATGGAACATCTCTAGTTCAAGGCATAATTTCTATACCAGGTACTCAAAACAAAACAATAATCAAGGGTGCAATATAATATCTGTCTACCAAACATCTAATATAGGTAATGTGTAGTCTCTTCCAGCTCAAGCATAAGTATCGATTCACCACTACTTTCTCCTTCACAGACAATAACACCTGCAGCATCCAACAATGTGTCACTTTCTCTTGGTAAGGCTGATCACATTGTATCACATTTTAAAAGGCAATAGCAAATACAGAATTTCTTTACCTTGCCCTGTAAAATTCCATTTTTTCCCCCATCCTGTGAACCATTCACAATAAAATTCAGTTGTTCAATTATTCTTAACTATGAGTTTTTCAACAAGCTAACCAAGAGTTAGCTTATTAAAAAATTGCTCATGATTTAATTCAAGTAAAATTCTAAATGATTGAATCACAATGTATAGTGAGAATAATTGTTGATTAAATCTTTGATGAAGATGTCATTGACAATTTTCATTAAATTAAAATTTTTATTATGTTTAATTGTTAGGTAATTTATATTTTTATTATGTATTGTGACAATTATTTTCATTTTTTCATAGAATCTCTATGTCTCAAGGAATCAAATAAATTATGGATTAAGAATCACTGCAGTTATGGGAATAATCCTGAGATGAAACTATTTGAAACTAACATTCAAAAATTAAATTTACAGTCTTCTAATGTCATAACCTAGGACGTCATTATTGTCATTGTGGTATTTGACTGTGTTATCATGCAATGCATTTGAATAAACAAATTTCACCATTGGTGGTTTAATACTGCATGTCCTCTACAACAGATTGTAGCAACTTCTAGACCACATTGTTTCGAGTATTTTTGAGAAAAATTAAATGTTAGACCACAGAAAGTTCATAATTTATGCAACAACTATTCCTCAAAATGGTCAAAATTAATTATAATATTTACTATTCCTATAATTATAACAACTATTCCTATAATTGTTCAAATTTTAGTTTCTTTGGGTTGTCTAAAAATATAAGTCATATTTATTCATTTTTGTTTTGTGTTTTTACTTTATTGGAATGAATCAATTTTTTTATAAAATATGATTTATAGAGAATTATAATGAAAAAAATTGTTAATAACTTACAAATTGATCCCAAACAAATGTTAATCTTTCACCCCTGATTCTCAAGAACTTGGAAAATAACGTAAAACTATAATTTTAATAGTATATATAATGACCTTGTGGCAAAACACAAAAACAAACAAGTAAATACAATTCTTATAAAAAACAACCTAAGTTAACAAAACCCTTTCTCTCATTGGAATATTTAATAATATTTTTCTTTAGGAATTTCTATTCTTTCAATAGAAATGTGTGTTAATATGTGTTCAACATTCAAACTTAGAGAACATTGCTGAAGAACGAGCACATACTAAACACATGATTGGTAATTTATGAACTTAAAAGAATTTGAGTAATACTATCTTCATATCTCAGAAAAACATATTTCTGTACATTGAAAATCATCACAGTTTAAGTAAAACCAAGAAGAAAAAAAAGGTCTGCATTTTCTAAAATTTCTCCCAATTTAACATATGTACAAATTTTATTTATGTAAGAAATTAAAATCTGTTAGTGAACCTACCAAACTAGAATTAAGTTTTCTATGTTTCTGTATTTTCAGGGAATAGTCCAATTGGATCTTTCAGTCCTGGTGTTGGATCTGGCATATCAAGTCCTTCCCCTAGTGCTGGTGGGATCTTTCTTGGAATGGAGTGGGGTGGCTTCTCTTCCTATCACATTCCTCAACAAAAACCTCTAGAAACTGGTGAATTAGATGATTTACCAAGACTGAAACCAACGACCAGTAAGGAACACCAACAATCCCCTAACTTACTAACTCCTGATTGAACCCCAGAAAATTCTTTGCTTTTAATTGGAAAACAAATTTTCATTCTTTATTAACTAGTAGGATGCTATTTCGAACATCTAACTTTCTGTTAATGTGCTTCCAACACAGAATTTATTCTTTAACTACTACAGAGTTTTAAAATTATGTTATTTTTCAATTTACAGTGGAACCTCTAAATACAATTTTTAATACTACCCCAGAGTAGTAAAGACCACAGCCATATGCAGAAAGAAGCTTACATTCCCGAGAAAATGAAATACGTTATGTAGGTACAGCGACTATAATCAGTGACTAAAAATACTAATTAGTAACATTGTCATATTGAAAATGTACAAACTTAAAACTGCATTGATGAATGAGCATCATTCTCCAGATTAATTGCTATGCAATGTAAAACATACAAAACAGTTTTTAGAAATTGTGACAAAGTGCCTATTGCTCTATAATTATTTTCCAGTGCTAAAGGCATCCTGTTAAAATGTCACAGCTATTATGCGAAGGACCTAATCAGAAGCAACTTCTATGTAATTAACACAACCGTTTCAATTTGTATCATTATAAATTAACAGTTTTAGTATCTATCAGCTTGTTTAAGATCTTCCAAACCAAGAATACTTCTTTTTTTAATCAAAATCAACATCTGCATATCCCAAATTCAATAGATGTTTGAAGCAGGGAACACTATTCCTAAAGTATGATGATTCACACTAAAATTAAGACAAATATTAATACATACAAACTGAGTATAATAAAATGACAGAAAGTGAATTACTAGAAAAATATTATGAAATTAGAAAATACTCATATATAACCAAAAGAAGGGCAAATTCTTACATAAAATCTGCTTTTGAAATTTGTGTTCCATGCTACAACCACCATTATCACCTGTTCTATTCATTGTGTCTGACTCCATACGGAATCACATTCATTGTAATTAGGTAATTCATTTTTAAGCAAAAGCTAATAATGCTATTTCATAGAAGCAACACAAAACAAAACAAATCTAAATAATAAACATTAGATATTCTGAGTACATAAGGAATATCTATTAAGTTTACCTAATGCTAAGCACAAAATAAAGAAAAACAATAGAACAGTTTCATTCCAATATTTTATGGGATACAATGAAGGCTATAATGGCTTTGTAACAAAGAGTATATGTTCCATTATAACATTTAATCAGTTCCAACTTCAATATGTAGTGCATTTTTTTGTTTCCATAGCTGATTATAGCTGTAAATTAAAGATATGTATTATTCATAAAAGTCCTCATTTAAAAATATTGATTAATTGAAATACTGGAAATTTCAATCGATAAAAAGACCATGAAGATGAGTGGAGAGTTTGCAACTCTATTCATTGAACCTCCTTCAATTGCATTTCAATATGGAAATAAATATCCCACTTTACAATCTAAGAAAATATCATACAAAATATAATGAAATCATTTAGAAAACTAATTTCATAAAACATAAACCTGTAGCTGAAAGATTGCTAACAGAAACTTCCAAAGAATAACTGTTAGTTTCTAATGCACGACTATGTTGCTAATCATTACAATCAATTTCTACTTCAGTGCTATTCACAGACATTCTAACCACAGATTTACATAATGTGACAAAGAGATAAAAAATCAGTCATTCAAATGATACAAGCTAGAAATAAATTAACAATTTTAAATAATATAAACTACTTTTTGAATTCTCAAAATTAAATCCATTTAAGTTTCACTAGTTGCTATTAATGAAGAAAATATATCACATTTCAGTTCCTGGAGACAAGAAATTCCTAACACAAACATGTATCAAACGGAAGTTTATTAATAAAAATTAGTAAATAAATAAATAGTTTTCAGAGTTTAGAAAAAAAATTAACAAGAATTTTAATTGAACCGGACAACATAATTTTATGAGTAGTATATTAACCCTTAAATAAGAAATTCAATTTTCTGAAACAGCTAATAAATGATTTACTTTTATAAAATATTATTTGGTCCCTTGGATTTCATGTTAACAAGGGTTTACTGTAATTTCATAAATTATTTCTGATGACGAGAGATGTTGATCACTTCAAAATCGATAAGAGAAAACATTGCATTCACACAAATGATTGCAAGGCAATACGTTCAGACGACCATTATGCCAAAAAAATTCTTGATTACAGAGGATCAATCAAATACAAGTTATGTCATTTTATTCATAAATGATCAGCTCATTTAAATAATCATACTTTTTATTCAAACTGTTTCAGTAAAAGTAAAACAGAAAATTAAATCTTAAGAAATCGTTTGGTCAGTTTAAGCATAAATAGTTTTAAGCATTGTTACTTGCTGACAAACCATCACACAAAATCTGTTGTTTTTTTCCCCTTAATCAAGAATTTTATTGATGCAAAAATACAGTACTGTCTGAAAAATAATTAATATATTTTTTGCTGATATAGTTATTTTCAATATTGATAATGTAACACTATAAGAAATAGCGGCCTGTTATTAATGTTTTTTTTCTCTCTATACAACACATCACAAAAGTATGTTTGAAATACTGGTATCTTCCACCAAATATAACATGATGCAATTAAGTACACAAGAAATATTGGCCTTCATTGCTCAAATCTTGTTGAGAAATACCAGCACAAATTTCGAAAACTAAATCCAAATGAAAATTTTCATAGGAAAATTAACAGAATACTTTTGTTACATTTTTCATTAATAATCTTATTCTAAAAGAAGACATTTAAATGAACTAATTGGACAAATATTCTCCACATGTAAGAGATACCTTTACTCATCCCATTACCTACTGATATAGTATGTATCATCTTTACTTGCGAGGATCAGTTTTTGGATGTTGTTATTTCAACTATTTCATAATACACTAATCTGTTTTCTTTCATGGATGATCTACCTGTTTCGAATAATAATTTTTGATTTCTTTTACAGACTTCTATTAGGTGGATTTCTTAGACTGACTTTTATAATAGCTTCTATTAAATAACTGTCAATGTTTTCAAGTTCTAAGATTTCTTATAGTCTTTTTCTGTATACTGTTGTAAGCTCTCTCATACACTTATCATTTACATTTTCCATTTCCTTTTAATAACTGCAACTTCTTTCTAATACTTACTTCTTCGCCAATATTATGAATTATACTCAATGTAGAACGCATAACAGGCCTTTTTCTTCTTTTTTTACCTCATTACATTTTATATCTTGAATTGAATTGATCTTGTAGCCAAATCTAAAATAACACCTTAACTCGGGAGTGCCTGTAATAGGTAGACTCACGCCAGTGCCTGCAATGTATCTCTCAGATATAACTGTAACACTTTGTGAATGCAAATGATCTGAAGCTCTATTTACTGCAATACGTATTTTATGTAGTTTGTACATGTTCCCCAATGCAATTGTTATTAAATCCTACACTGCGGAAACCTTTTCTGAATACTTATGGTGAGAAAGGTAAAAATTGACAGAGTATACACAAAAATCATTGAACATCATATTATCTTATTTAATAATATAAATACAATTTTCACAAATGATTTTGGCATGTTCTGTCATATGACGAACATATTTTTCATTTTTCACAAAATTATTTAGTCTTTTTTTTTTCATTTTGCAAGATTCACATTTTTTCATTTCTCTACAGACGTATCCTGCACATCTTCTTTCTCTTTGGGAAGAAAATGTGACAGTCAGTCCTAGATAAGACAAATGATTACATTTTCTAAATAGGACTTGTCATAGACACGGCAGAAAATAATGCCATGGTATGTACCGCTTAAGAGCTCACAATTCACTGGCGCCAGTGCAGGCAATGTACCTGATAGCTATCGCACAGTGCAGCGATCATGTTTCAACATACTCACAGGAAATGATTTTGCAAAATGATAAAAATAGAAGGCCAGGTGTTCTCAGAAAAGTACAATGAAGGGATAGATGAAATATCAGACTATTAATTCATCGCAATTATTCAGGAACATAAAATTGCCTTTACTTGGATCTCACAGATCCATTGCAAGCACTCCTGGGTTAATAATCATAATTGGGATAACAAAGAGACAACTCTCTTCCTACAAAACATATAATATTTGTTTTCATCTTCATTTAAAGTTTAGATTGAAACCCATCACCAATGAAATTAGTTATTTTCTTAGGAAGCACTTGGATAATTTTCTTAGCTCTACCTAAATTTTCCATACTACAAACAATACTAAGGAATAAAACACTGTAGAAAGAAATACTAAGGAATGTCAAAATAAAAAACTTAAAATAACTTACTCCACTCTATGTAGATCATTTTAATGCACATTGTTCTCATGACCATCTTAAGAAGTATTAGATTACAAGAGTTACTACCTACTGAAAGTTACTAATCCAGAGAATCTAATACAGATTAATTGAAAGGTCAGAGTAGGTACACAGAAAGTACAATACATTGTCTTGAGATTATCATATGATTGTTTTGTTTACAAACAAACTGGTGTAACTTCAAAATTTTTTTAAAGTTAATTGATTTTTTGTGCAAGTCAGAGAATAAAATAACTAGAATTAATATTTTAGAAGCCATGAAAATATCTTGTAAAAAGTGAGTTTGTTCAATTTTTGAGAAAAATGCACATTTCATCAAAATATATTTGGGGGTTGAAAATTATGGATAATTCACAACACAACATACCAGATGTAGTGACATTATCATAACTGATTTGTAAATGTACATTTCTTTCTGTCCCATAAGAGAGAAAAAATTAAAATAGAATTTTCTGTGATTAACTTTAGTGATCACCATTTTTTACTTGGCCTATTTCAAATTTAATCCTCTTCAGTTGGCAATTATTTTTTCTATCTTGTTAATCTGAAGTGAAATAGTTTTCAAAAGCCTCACAAAATAAAAACTTGAAATGAATGATCTGGCCCCATTCATGATAATGATGAATTAAGGGATTCATATTAAACAGTTTACATAAATTACAATAAAACCTTGTTAGCACGAACTTGCTTAACGTGAAATTTGTTGTAAAAAAGAACAAAATTTGGGTTCCACCAAAGAAACATAGTAATGAGGCTACGTATAAAAATCAGATAACACACATTTTTATAACACGAACACTGATTATTCAGTCCCTTGGAATTTGTGTTATTGAGGGTTTACTGTATACTGTATGTTTGTGTAAAATAAACAAAACAGTTCAATGACCTGCAGATTATATCAGTTAACCCAGATCTCAGACATTTCATTATAAACCTGAACACTGGGTCAAATTCAAAGAGCTGGTAACTCTATTGATTATTGATACTTGTTGAAATTTTCAAAGTTTTAACATTTGCAAAGTAGTCAAATACTTCAAACAATATTAATAATAATGCACTGTCAGTTACCTACGTATGCCAAAATATTACATCAATTTTTAACCAACAAATATTGTAACTTATTTTCTTACAACTCTTCTGATTGAAATGTGTTCAATATTTGCAAAAAAATGAACTCTTTCTCACCCTATAAGAAGACTTGGGACATTTCTGTAAATAAAATTTATTTTAGAGACAAAAATGGTAAAGAATACCAGAATACATAATTACATGATTGTAATTAGTTCCATAAAATAAAAAAGAATAACTAATCGACTAATAATCGGTTCCTAATAGACAGAACTATTCATTATGACAATACTGTACATAAAATATATTGAATGAACCAATACATACTTTATAACATTATCAAAATGTAAACCGACCAAAATTACCAAAGTGATTCACTTAAAGTTTATGGTGCCAAATTTAATACTAATGTAGAGAACTGTATAATATAATGTGAGGACCTACAGGTAAATACTGATAGAAAAAAATTGGTTTATCAACAGAAAATTATTAGCACTGCAATAATAGGGAAATTAAATGATTGTTTATTTGTAATTATGATTGTATTATAATGTGCAGATCATCATAATATTAAGATTAACTTGTTTCTATGTGAACTTTCTAACCGAGAAAATACATAAGAATCTGTTGACTTTTCAATCCTTAAAAAATGGAGTTACAATAAATGAGTCTCAATGTCAAGACAGTATTAATATGTAAGGCATATAATTCTAACTCTGATGCTAAAGAAAGACTTTACAAATGAAAAATTGTATGCCAAGAAACATGTAAGAATTTCATGCATAATAAAATATTCTTAAAGTGTGCCAAATGAACTAATTTTTCAATACCCAATGAATGTTCCTAAAAAATTTATTACAGCTATATAAAAAAAAATTAAAAACAAAAGAAAAATAACAAGTTTGATATGGACATCATAATGAAACACACAGCTTTGGAACCAAGAGACATAGGGCCAGTGGTGCAAACGCAACACAAGTTCAATGATGTCCATTTCAAACTTGAGATTTTCAAAATTTTAGCAACAACAGACCCAGAGACATCTTTTATATTACATTTCGTAATATATTTATCAACAGATACACACTGAATGTGCATGTTTCAACAATCACAACTTTCATTTGCTTTATTTGGCATTTGTTTAAAACTGCAATAATTTTTGAAAAGGTGATCAAGTTTCCAATAACTTTATATCAAGTTGTTGACTTTTGGAAGACATTCAGAGAGAAAATTAGTGAAGTTGATAGTGATGATGTTCCTTTCAAGATTGAAGAAATGGCTAAAGATGTTGTCGGTTACCTTCTACCAGAAAAATTAAAGGAAGACTATGAACAGAAATGAAAAATTACAAAAGTGCTTCAACACAAAAAAGGTCAAGTTTTTTTAGCTCATTATGAGAATTTATCAAAAGAGTACAAATCTTTTTCATTATGAATATTTTACTCAATGTTATGCTCCATGATAACATTAAAATAAAATTTCGTTATAAGTATGTACATCTGATAGCTTTCCTGTAAGAAAATCGTAAGGCTTTCAACCACAGAAACCGAATATTAAAAAAGATGTTATCAATTTTATTCAGAAAGCAGGTGATAGCAAATATTTGTTTGTTGATTTCAATGAAATTGTTTCTTTAATAATTATAAAGTTAAAATTGGAAGTCCTTTGGAATGGGATTGAAAAAATTACCAACAGACCAACTGTAATTGTAAATTCCTTCATTCATTGGTGCAATATAGTGGAAATAAAGAATAAAGAAAGAACGTAATTCAATAGACCCTTGCGTATCCATGCATAAAATACACATTAGTGTGACCAAAAAATTGTGAAAATATCAATTTATAAATTCATTCATCTATTTAAAGCATTTTTACACATTGTTATTAATGTTCATGGAGGAAATGAAACCACTAAAACACAGGCATATTTTTTGCAAGAAATGCATACATTCAAGCTGATAATAAGAATTAATTGAAACTATCTACCAAAAACTATTCATGTTAGGACAAATATTTGATCAAAATATCAAAACTACCATAATGATAAATCATTTAAAAAATCCAAACATTCACTCAATTTTTCATAGCAAAAATTTTTTTCTCTGAAAAAATTTGCAAAAATGAGAAACATGTCCACTTTAAAAAAGACTGTTAAAATTCTTTGCTTTGCTCAGTAAATGGAAATCGAATGCCTGGACAGTTAACAAGTTAACATCAATTTAAAAAAGAAATGTGATTAATCAGGTTTCTAACTAAGAGGAAGTCACATTACGCTTTCGACAAATAATTTTCTTTTCAAATCATCTAATTACAAAACATGTCCCTGGTAATGACACTTGTAATAGTTATGAATCATTATTAAGAGAAAGTAGGTGTTATAATAATATCAATAAAATGTTAGGAAAGGATATAAATGTCTATCATAAATTGTTCAGTATAACAATAGAATTCAATGAATAACAATAAATTTTCTTTTCAAAAGGAAGGCCATTGAGACATGGTTGATAAACAATTAGAAGTTGGTACATTGATTCAGACAACCTACAAGGTGAGTTCAAGTTAACAAGTCTCCAATTTTTTTCTTAGGTAGAATGATGCCTGATGAACTTTAAATATGCAGGCACACTTTGGGAGCAAAACTGACACAACTGGAAACAAGGTTTGTAAAGTAGCATCTTTAGTGCAATGCATTTTCAATACTTAAAAATGGCATTTTAATGCAAAAGAAAAGAATGTAATCAGTTTTCTTTATTAGCAAGGCACCAACAATTTTTCAGTTGGTAAAACTGGCCTCTAAAAATGACTTTAAGTAGTCCCGCCATTAACATATTTAAAAATATGTTGGCAGGGAGACTGTTGGGAAGCAAGAGACTTTCTGTTCAAAGCACTTCATCAGAAATAAAATCATAAGACCTTAGAACTTCATTGTACCATCTCATCCTCTATCATATGCAAAGAAAATACTTCCTTTATTACAGTAGAGCTCCAGTTATTCAAACTAAACAAGGATCGAGCCAGTTTGAATATGCAGAAATTCGGATGACTGGACAAAACTCAGAAATGAATAACAAAAGTTGTTAGACCTAGAAAATCTACGTAAGTTCATTAAATAAAATTTAATAAATATAAGATACATAAAACTGTAAGATTTTCACACAAGAGGAACCAAAAAATAAATAATGATTATAACATTTTTTCTCTCAAAATCAGTTTGGATAATTTAAGTTTCATTGCAAAAAACTACCAACATTTTTGGCATTACAGTTCCAGTAATGAAAAAAAAAGCATTAGTACACTTCTGTAAAATAAAGGATGTACACATAGCATCCAAATATTTCAGGAAAAAATTGATATTACAGTAAGAATATATGGGTCATTCCACCCAAAAGTGAACTTGAGTGGATTATAAATTTCATCATTGACTTCCTTTTATGATGCATGTGAAGGCATATGTGTATAATTATGAAACAAGGATATTATGAAGTAGAGATTTTCATAACAGTACTATAATATGCTTTTGAATACATACAGGCTTGACAATAATGATCATCCCTGAATAAGGGTGAAGTTAAAAAGGAAACACTTAGTCACACTGGGGTTCATTAGTGTACAAACTTAACATGTAACAAAGTAGTAATCAATTTAAATATAATTATCTGCATTTTACATTTTATTTAAAGAAAACTTCAGAGGTAATAAAACAGTATTGAAGTTACAATCACAAGTGTCATTAACAAAACTACATTACCTTGGAATAACTATCTATAAAAACTTTGATTAATTGAGACGATTCTTTCCCTTCTTCTAGACGATACATATCACTTCAGTCTTCCTCAAACATCAGAATCAATATAGAAAATTGCAGGTAGATGTTATAATTCACTATTTTACAAAAACTTTAATTCAAATGTGACCTATTCAGCAAAAGAATTTCACTATCTACTAATTGTTAACAAAATAAATTGTTCAATTACAACAAAATGACAATTTTTTATTTCAGGTTTTTTACGTTGTCCAGAAAAGTGGAACACACAAGCAAATATTTGCTATCCTGTCGCGTCTATTCCTGTTGATACTAAATTCCACAAGTTTTCTATAAATCTCTGAGAGGGAATTCTACTTATGTGTCTATTTAGCCAAGAAGTTTCATTATTCTACTGAATAAACATAAAAGTGGTGTGAAGCCATGAAGTACGATATTTTAACAGTTAAAACAGTTAGGAACATTTACACAGTATGCATTCCTCTTAACGAGAGCTTGTTGTCCTTAGTACACCACATATTTTCACTAGAGTTAAGTATCTATCAAACTGGACTTCCTGAAGAAAGCCTGGTTTCAAACAGATGATTAGTATTGTACATTCATATAGTAACTTCCTGATCACTGGGCTGGGTTCAGAATTGGCCCAGGAAGTAACATAGCAATCAGAATGGCTGTATACATCACTATTACCCAGGGTTATTACCTATAAAATGTGGATTCTTCCTGGGATAAAACACAAGGTTGCTTTCAAGGAATGTATCAGATTTTAATTTCATTACTTTCCATGTTCATTTCTTCATTTTTTCTCAGCACTTTTCCCTACAGACCCTGACCACAAAAATTTACAATAGCTATAAACATATAATCATATTTGTGATATTGAATGTATAAAACACAAAATATTTATTTTTAATGGGGTATGGAAGGGAAAATTAATTATACAAAATGGCTAATTTAAACACATTTATTGACCCCATGGGCTAAATATACAATATTTTCAGCTTTCTCAAAACATTTATTCACTTCTCAATTTAAAACCTGGATCACACAGAAGTAGGTCAAGCAAAGATGCCTGTATATCACAAATAAATATCACAACACGCCATTAATTGTACTGTAGTCCCACTTCACGGTAAATGCAATTCATCCTCATTTGTGCCATCTTGTGCAACTGTTCTTCTCAAACATCCTTTTTCATTCATTATATTTCAAAAAAAGAAGTTTTCTTCCTCTGTGGATTTTATCCCAAATAAATTAACACAAGTTCTAAAGATCTGTGGTATCAGATGATTGCCTATTTATGCAATAATTCAATCATGATTGGCTAAACCAATTTTTTAAGTTCCATTTGGGGATATCTATTACATCATTCATTATAATTTCAGAAGCAGACACATATACAGCAGCTATGACTCCAATCAAGCTGCCAAGCAACAAGTTTTTGCGAAGAAACACACCAGTGGCGATAATGAAACCTGCATAGGTCACATATCGTACCCACTTACCAGGATCTTTACGACCAAGATGAGCGATATCTGAAAATAAAAAAATCACACTTTAAGAACTTATTTCAAAGAATGAATATATAGTACCATCCAATAACAATGATTTAGGCCACCTCCATAATTTACGTTAAATATACTACCATTTTTGTTAAGTGTGTTTTGTTAAGTATACTACCAGTTTTGTAAGAGCCCAGGCAAGATAGTTTAAATCAACGGGCGCGTAGCGCCGCAGTGTCACTACCCTGAGGAAGCCTGCGAAATGTCGGGCGAAACGTCGGCACCCCAGCCAACGACGCGGCGTCTCCCGGACAGCCGAGAATTCATGGATTCGAGCCGCGGAAGCTTACGTACATACCATTTTTGTTATTTCAAGACAAGACACAAAATCAGGTTCTTGGACCTGTTGTATGTAGAAAAGAACCAAAATCTTAAATTTAAATATGAACATTCTTATTTATAAATTTGATACAGATCTCATTTAACTGTTGCGAAACAACACTTTTGATTTGATTAATCTCATAAAAACTGCACAAAAGTACCATAAATAATAATTAAACTTGCTACCACCTATTGTTTAGTAATCTTAAAAAGCAGTACCATATATAAAAATAAAATACCACATTTATCATTACAAGTAGCTACTACCCCTCTCTTTCCATCAAAAAGGTCCAATGATTTGAAATGATAATTACTTTTAAAATTATTCTTAGCAATTCTGGTATTTACAAATTGACAATAATTGTGTAATTGCTGGTCCAAATGGCCAGGATCGCTAAGGCAGTAGTGCCGTAGCAATCTTGGACCGAAGGATCGCGGGTTCGAGTCCCACCTCGGGCATGGTTGTTTTTTGTTCGTCTTTTCAACCCCTATCATCATCATGTCATCCTCACCGTTACATGCAATAGTGGTAAGGACCTAGAAGTTGACGTGACCTTAAAAAAAAATTGTGTAATTGTTCAGTTCCTGATATTATGTACTAATATGACGGTTGATATTTATGTATCCAGAATTGGCAACAATGGCTAGGTTCCATCCAATATCTATATAATAAAATTTGACATTTTTGACAAATTCATTCAGAAAAATTTGGCTAACACACTGTTTGTCTTTATAAGAGACTTTAAAATTTCATCTGTAAAAAAATGGAATTTTTCATGCAAGGTTTTTATTACATCAATATCAATTATCTCAAAAACAGAGCAGAGATCAACTTGCTTTTTGGTGATAAAGTACCATCAAAAACACTGAATATCACTGGTTCAGTGAATTGTGGCAGTTGTTCACACCCGGACGAATTTGAAGAAGGTCCATATAATTTGTTATGTTACACATAATTGACACTCAAAAAAATGTAGATAAATAAAAAAAGAAAAAGGCTTGTGCTGATTGTTAACAGAAATAGACCAAAACTACAATTCCGGTGTGTCAAAAGCCACATATATCACTTATACAGGTTATGAATCTCGGATATATGTGCACTAGCCCTAAAGTAAACAGCAATCGACAGTGTGGATCTTCTAGGATGACTCAAACCCAACAAAAACTGTTCATAGAAGATATACTTTGAAGCAAATTGTCACTACGGATTTTAAAGATCAATTGGCATTAAGCTAGGGACTAGAGAATCATAGAATAGTTAATTCTGAATGGTACAAAACCATATGTTTGCCAAATGTTTTTGAAGAAATAAAAACTATCAAAACAGGATCTTTCTTTATCATGGCAACATGATCTCTCCCACATTAGCCCAAACAACTCAGTTAAAACAGAACTGATGTGTCTTACAACATACAGCTTAGATTTTGGCAGCCAATGATTTTGTTTTGTTCTCATTCATGAAAAATAAACCATCTTGCCAACAATTTTTTACTCCAGAAAACGTGTTTGAAACATTTTAATTCAACTCAAAAAGGTATGCTTTGGAGATAACCCAATCAAAACAGAAATAGTGCTACGAAAACTGGTTCAAACAAATGCAAAAGTGTACATACTGATTATGGAAAATGTTTTGACAAAAAAAATAACCGTTTTCAAATGAGAAGATTTAGTTTTATTAATCTGGATTCATAAATTCCAACCATTATGTAAAACTACCATTAGATTAGACTCCTTTGTAATTAAACATACTTAACCATAAAACATTGGTGATTGTTCTATCCATCACACACATACCTCGGCAAATGAAAGATCCTTCATTGTTGATACACACTTCATTGCTTTGGCATACATTTTTAGAGGTTTTACACTCATTAATATCCACACAGCCAACGGATGGCTCCATTTGCCAACCTGGTTTACAATCTTTACACCCTGAAGCAATAAAAGAATTATGATTCACAACACATCCAAGCAGATAGATAAAAACATTTTTGATTAGGGTAAATGTGAAACGTGCATTAATTTTTTTCTAAGATGCTGTATTCATCTGTTGCATTCATCTACCATCACTAGTTACAACTCGTATCTCTAGCTGAAGTGTTACCATTGTAATGTGCCAATTTCAAATTGTAGTAATACAACAACTTTATGATTCCAGAAAAAACCTAATACAGGATTTCATTAAATATGAACTTTAAGCTTGATCCATTGGAGGAAGGAGAACTCCTGTACCAACAAATATTTTCAATTCTCAAGAGACTTAAAAAAAGGAATATGCTTTATTTACATGTAGGAGGAATTAGCAAAATGTTCAATTAGTTTTTTTCCTCGATGGACAAAACGTATGATTTAGCTTCAATACACAAGATAGTATTACTACTTTTTAATATGGGGATAAGTCATCACAATGGATAGTAAGCATTTCTTCTTTTAATTCCAGGTTTTACAACTGAAAATGTATCAGTGTAATCAATACAAATAAAAATAATGAAAATATTAAATAATAATAAAAAAATAAATAAAATAAAACACCATTTCAATGCTTACAATATTTTACGTTTGTTCACATTATTACAATATAAACACTTGCATCCTTGACCTTACGAGTAAGACTAAAATGAACATATCACATGTTGCGCCACATACCACAAGTAGTGTGTAAACTTCAGAGACAATTGAACTAAAAATATCTTGAGTGAACTTTTTATGTTTTATTACTATCAGTAAATATTTTGGAATTTTTGCTTTTCCCATACCTTTTGGAGAGCCATCTGTACATCCAGACTGACATGATTTGTGGCATGGGGAACAAGAAATTTTGTCATCCTTGTCACTAGTATTAAAATAATTTACTGCACACCGATCACACAGCTTCCCAGCATATCCAGTGTTGCAAACACACTGACCACTTCCATCTCGTGTTCCTGAACCCTAGAAGAAAACAGCATTGTTTATTACATTAAACAGAATACATTAAAAACTATAAATAATCACATCTCTGACAAACTACTTAATACAAATGCTAAGCTAGTATGAATTTAGATGTAGTAGAATTTGTGGGGAAATAGGTCTGACAAAAAAAGATTGGTTGTTGCAACTCTTTGATATTCAAAAGGCTATGCTTTGTCTTTCCCATTATTCCTAGCTGCAATACTGCCCTCTTCAGTCCTTCACATCCCTCGAACCTCATCTTTATACCCAAGAACTTCTTTCTTGTTTTTCCTCTTACCAAAATTGTTCCTTCAATTATCGTTCCTAAAAACAAGTACAATCAAATGTTCCAAAAATCTTGATATTTTTTTTTTCTTCTTCTTCTTTCTATGGAATTTGTATCAATCTTCTCTCTTCTTTTGCCTCCCTGTATATTTCACTTGTTATAACACCATCAAAACAAAATATGTTAGTTATATTCTCCTGGCTCCTTCCAAGTATATTTTCATCAAACAAGAGGAAACTGTTGGATGACATGGAAGTGCCTTTGACACTACTATTTTAATTTTCCAGATATCAGGAAAATCTGAATTTTATGAAAGGCAAGTAAAATGCAGAGTTGGCAGAAGCAAAATTGTGAATTGAGTCAAGAGATCAAAAATAATAATTGCATTTAAATAATAATGAATTGAAGGGCACAATCAAATGTATTTTGGTGATCCCATTATATTATTTTAACTGAAATCTATTACTTCAACACTAATGAGAGAACAAATGTTGGCGAACACTGTGGCTTCTTCTTGGATAAGATTAGCACTTCAGAACTGCCAGACTAGTGTAGTTTTTCAAACACAACATTTGTTAGATTAAATTGCAAAGTTCCCTTTGTACAGTGCAACTATTTTATTAGTGTGCCGTGATTGTGGAAAATTCTGTTCGGCCAACGGGCCCTCACTTGCTCGGGAAGGGAGCACTGAACTTCTCTACGAGGGATGTGTTCCAGTCTTGTTGAGTCAGTTTGAGTTGGCTCACTCAAAGTTCACTCTCAAACAGAAAGTGGGTGTGTAAGACACATGTAAAATGTGTCAATGCGTTACGTGCATCATGTCTTGGAGCCTTTCTTCCAAATGTTGACCAAATGAAGAGTGCATTTATGGTCACTTTCAACAGGACTCTGTAACTGCACATACTGCTTCAATTTTCTTAAAGGGTCAAGGTTTTCTTAAGGGCGGGTTATGGAAACAGAATTATCACGCGTGGTTTGTGGCATGCATGCTCTCCTGATCAGACTTCTTGTGTTTTCTTTCTTTGGGGATTCCTGAAAAATGGCATATATGTGACAAATCCAATAGCACAGGTCATCCTTTACTAAGGCAGCAAGTACTTGTTTAGATGTCAAGAATGTATCAGAGTCACGGTGAACAGTTCCAGCATCTACTATAATGCGAGTACAATTTAAACTTTCTGGCAACAAAAAGTCACTTTCCTTCCTCTGTGATTCTTCCAACCACCCTGGCTCGTTTTTTCTGGCATCAGTGGCCTTATTGGCCTAGTTAGCCAAGGTCAAATCCTGGTGTGACTGGTACATTTATAAAATGGTCGCACAGTATTTAGAAATACACTTCATCCATTAATGTTTACAGTGGTCATATATTCAATGCAGCTAGAATGGCAAAGGTAAACAGAGCATGTACTGGTTCAGAATATCTTTCAGACAAGTAAGTCACTGATTCCAATCCCACTATGGATGAGGAAAAATTAGTCTTGTGCAAGCTGGGTCTACGCAGGTTTAGCATTACATTAATCTAGTAACTAATGAGTCAGTATGTGTTAGTGTCGAACATAAATGCGTAGTATAAGGAACATCCCCTACAGAGTGATGAGAATACAAGTTTTAATCCACATAATTAAACCAAAGATAATAATTATATATTTACAAAATACTTGAACAGGCAGGTCAATCCTAACAATGTGCATGATAAAATGAAGATACACATGAGAAAAAAAAATAAAATTATAATATAGTAAATAGACAAAAATATTTAAAAAAAAGAAGAAAAGATAGTAGATGAGAATTAGGAGAAACAGTGTAAAAATGGTCCAAACATTGTTTAAATGTGTGACTGCTCAACAACTCTGTTTGACAGGAAAAACTTGTATGGATTGCGCAAAAAAATGTCTTTGTTTAATTTGTAATTGTGATCACGAAGGTGGAAGTTGGTATTGCGAAGGAAAAAATCATCGAAACCTGGGCAGTTGTAGTACCCATTTAGTATATTGTAAGTTTCAATGAAATCTCCCTGCAAAATCCATTCATTAGCAGTTGACAGATGGAGTGCTTCAAGTCTCTCGGGATACGACAGGTGTCCCAGGGCAGTAATTTATCTCGAAGATTTCCTTAGTACACTGACTAAGAGAGTCAGGTCCTAAGTGAAGTACAGCAACGAGATGCAGTTACCAAATTCTATAATATTGGCCTAATATAAGGAAGTGAAGATGTAGCAGGAAAGTGGAGGCATCAGGTGCTCAAAGATTGTGTTGACCAGATAGGAGACTCAGTTGGCTTTTTTGTCACATATCAAATTTTCAGAAATACTTTGATTTAAGATGAATTATTCATTTTATTTTTTAAACGGAATGAATATGTAGCATAGTGTAGCAAATGTAGATTATTTTGGGTTAAATTAAATAGGTTTTTTTAACCTATTGTGTGTAAGGAATGAGTTTTCCGTCATCAAAACATGTAAGAGTATTCTTATGATACTGAAGTGACCAATGCGCCCTAATAGAGTAACCACTCTCTGAAAATTGTGCAATCTCAACTTTTGCACCTCTCTGATTTATCATGTATTTTGTGTACATTACAGGCCGCATGCACCTCAGGTGTATGCATAATGTAGTCAGAGCTTCAGAGTCTTTAAAATGAAGGTAGGTTATTCATGATCTCATAATCAGTGACCTGGTCACTATGTATTTATTTTAAGGCTAAATGTACTAACACTAGTTCAATTTGTCACCATCACATAGCAGCACCAAAATCAGTCAAAATTACTTTACTAATCATATATGAACAAATGGTCAATCAGTAAAAGGCGTTTTATACAGATTTTAGGCTATAAAGCCCCTTTAAAAAAAAAATTGAAAATGGGTTTTTGAACTATTTTTTAAAAATAGTTTTGCAAAGAAATTCGAAGCGCGATGTCGAAATGCTTCCTGAATCCATCGCCGTATCTATTATCCAAATCGGAGGAATTCTATAAAATTTAGGGATACTTTAGAACAGAGCTTGCCAACTCAATGCTCTGTGATGTCACAAAAATCTGTTCTCCTGCTTGGAACCGGGCCGGGGAAAAAGGTAGTGCTGGACACGGTGGCAGGCGTACAATGTTTCAATGATGGTATGGAAACGGGGTAAAAAGGTTTGCTTGATAATTAAGTTTTTGAATGGTTATTATTATTTCAATGTTTATGATTCAATAAAAATAAAAAGAATTAAAACAATTGAACGTAGATTATTTCATAACACAAAGCAATATCTGATTATCGTAACCAGTACTATAATTCCACTTCCATTCTTATAACACATATGATATTGGAGAAGACAGTTTTAACATTCTAATACAATATTTTATACAAAGTTATAAAATAAAACAATTTTAATTCGTCCTGAACCAATAACAGACACACAAAATAAAAAAAGTTGTAAATAAGTAAAATAAAAAAGACCCAAAAATTTGACACGATTCTCTACGCATGTCAACGCGCTGAATCTGAATCTAGAATTGCGCTACCACCCTCCATGTTTTCTTATTATTATTCGCGGGAGGAAAAAAAAAAAAGGACTTTTGTTTTTTTTGTTTTCAGGGGTTGTTGTCGGATCCAAGACTTAACACATATTTCTTTATGTACACCGACGCTCTGAATCTGAAGCCAGAATTACGCCAACACCATCCAGTTTTTTTAATTGCGAAAAAACAATGGCATTTACAATTCCACGACGTTTCTCGCGTTTCAACTGGGTCGATGGCTCATTTCTGCCTTCAGATTCGAATTCAGCATGTCGACATACATAGCGAAGCATGTATAAAGTCTTTGGGTTTGAAAACTTTTTATTCTGTCTGCCAGTATAGTTAATGTTAACAAATAGATACCCGGGAGAATTTGGACTCTCGGATTTGGATTTGGATTTTCAATTCTTTTTCCACAATCTTCTATTTAGAAAATCCTTTTCTCATATCGTGATTGCAGGCTATCTATAAATTCTCAGAAATTATTTTCATCACGCGGGTCTCTGAGTTGCAAAGCTGTTTAATGCATCTGTTGGTTGAACTCTTTAACATACCGAAGTTCTTTCAAATACATTTCACACTTTGTCATTGTTTCGGTATCTACAAAAGGAAACCTTTCTTCCCAAACCGAAAGAAAATTAACGGCTGTAAATGGTCTCCCACTCATATTCCCTGAAACACGGGCAAAGGCCCACTGGTTTTCGTTGTCGGCGATCGCGGTCTGCCCCTTCCTCCCTCCCCCTCGCTCGCACCGCTTCGCCGAGCAGGCGGTCAGAGAGGAGAACTGAGCTCCGACATCATTTCTCCGCCAGTTGGCAAACACTGCTTTAGAAGACGCCCCTGAAACCTTTTCTAAATTTCTTAGAAATGGCTCCAAATCTTTTCTTTAACTTCGTTGTAACAATATATTGAAATGTGCTCCTAAAGATGGCATAGGTCCGAATTTTACTGTTAACTTAGAATTTTTGAAAGCTACAAGAGCTTAAATTTTTCACAACTACAATAATGAAGATACATTTTCTTTTCTTCCAATGAAATTTGTTCTCATAATTATTTTCATTGAAGTCATGCATATTTCTTTGAAACTTTTAATAGTTTTCGCATAAGATTGTGTAAAATATGCGCAATACAAAGAAATATCGAAAATAAAACTTTCTCAAAAATTGCTCCAATTTTTTCTTGAAAGTTTTGGTAGGTTTACTGCTAATTGTAGTGTATAAAATGACATATTGCTGTATTCTTGTTTGTTTTTTTCAATACTTACACAAGGTTTTATTTTGTTTTATTTGACATTTCTCTCACTTCCTTAATATTTACATTAGCACCGGAATCATTGCATTTGTGAGAACTCGCACTTTAAATTATGTCTCATAAAGTTCCTCGAAAGCTCCAAAGTATTCTGAGAAATTGAGCCCATGGTTTGAATTTTCAGAAATACTCATCTTCGTTGTTGGGAGGAAATATCAGGAAAAATTTTAACTTTTGCAACTTTCAAAAATTCGAAGTTAACAGTAAAATTCGGACCTATGCCATCGTTAGAAGTGTGTTTCAATTTTTCTTACACCAAATTGAAAGAAAAAATTTGGAGCCATTTTGAAGAAAATTTAGATAATGTTCTATGCGCTTCTTCTAAAGTATCCCACAATTTTAAAGAATTTTTATCCAACTCACTAGTGTTGTTCACAGATAGTCTGACATACGACTGACTTTTCTGTAACCTAGACATAGTAACGGAGACAGTAATCTGCATGATGAGATCATCTTGGTCATTATTGCTGGTTACATTTGCTACTACATTTTTGCTGATTCAGCATTTCTTAATACTTCATTGCATTGCAATTTCAATTTCAAACATTGAAAGGAGTAGGGTTGCACTGGCTCGATCCTCTATTTTTGCATGGACAAATCTATGTAGCTTTCTCAAGAGTAAAAAGCTTTTCTATTATTTTTGTGATGATCCAGGAAAGCAGGAAGCCAACTGTCAAGGAAGACTTCTAATGTTGTTTTTAAGGATGTGCTGTGAATTGTTCCCAGAACATTTGACTATAATATTGAATAAACCTGTACTGAAAAAATTTCATTAACAACTTTCCCCCTTAACATGGAAATGGAAGGATAGAGATGAGGGTAGGGTATAACACACAAGAGTTCTCACATGGGTATCTTAGTTACCAATAATGCAAATATGGGTGGTTGTCACACCACAAGCTTCTAAATAAATAGTTGCTTATGCAGGAAACTTCCCCATTTTTTGCATTGCTCACTGTATAATCTGTTGGATGATGCCACATATATTCAACAAAAATCCGAAGGAGGAAATGATTAGGGTTTCTTTCTTGACTCTTAAAACTGTAGTCACAGTAATTGTAACTAGTTAGGGAAGATGACCATTTAGTTTATCAACACAACTTACCACTAATAAAACTGTCCAACAATCTGAAATTACAAAACACTGAATAGAATACAAATCCTCCATGTGTGCATCCTTACGTAAGACTTTAGAGCTCAAAAAACGATAAAAAATTTATGTTGAGTGGGACTTTACATCAGAGCAGAAAACCAATTTTTCAATGTCGAGTCCAACTCGACAAAGAAGCTTAAAGAGTTTAATACAACAATGCTACAAGAATTTACTTTCACAAAAAAAAGTAAGGGGAGATTCAAGACTATCCCTAAGTTTACACAATCTTCAGTTCGCAAATCCAGTGGTTGACTGATAGTATATTATACTGACGTTGGCAGCACTGCAACTAAGTTTGTTGTGTACGTATGTGGTGCGAGGCGCCAGCCCTTGCAGATCTTGGAAATGGCAGCAGAAGCAGCCATGTTTTTTAACAGTTAATGTGTTCGTAATGGATTATTAGGATGTTATTGTGCAAAGTATCATGAAAATCAGCTCTACAAAAGCTATGGATATTCGATATATATGAATTAAATCTTCCTTACCTTGCAATTCCCTTTACCACCACATATGTTATCAGGGTAGCCAGGGCAAGGATCACATTCAGAACCATATTGTCCAGGTTCACAACATAATTTCAAAGCAGTTATGCAGAGAAATTTCTCCAGATCAGGCTCTTCGTCCTGCTTCTTAAACCACCAATGTTCCACATGGTACTCAGAATTTTCAGCTAGGGTATGACACTGAAACAAACATAACACATTGAAGTGAGTCATATAAACAAGAGTTTTATAATTGGGTTTGGTTGGGACCCGTAAGAATCAATAAATCTGAAGATGGAAATTCAATAGATTAACAGGTCACTAAATAATGTTCTGGCCATAATTGTACTGTGCATACTTAATTACTTTCATTCGGACATTTTAATTTCGTGATTCAGCATCATTAAAAAAAAAAAACCACTGGATTTATTTAGCATCAAAAGTATTAGAATACAAACAAGAAAAATAACATTACATTTGTCACATCTATATATACATAAAAGGGAATGTGCATGTATCACACATAGACAAAAACTACTTGACCAATTTCACTAAAATGTTCACACATATTTCTTATTGATAATGGGAATGTTTAAAGAGTGCTTTAAATCGGACATGTATGGAGCATTGTTGATAATGATTTCTTCATTTAGAACTCAAGTGCCCTAGAACACTGTGCAACCCGTTGCACAGTCGAGGACTCAGCGTATCTTCAGTGTATACAAGTAATCTGCCCCTGCGATTAATAAATATTGGTCAGAATTATTACTTGAATCTTGGGCAAATAAATCAAATTTCTCCAAGATAGTGTCACAGCAGACGCATGCCCAAATTTGAGGGAGAACATTTTAATTCTAGGATACTTGAGAACCATGTCTAAATCAGAACATAGAACAAACATACTTGCGAGAAAATATTTCATCTATTAGAATTTTTGCACAGCATACCGTAAAACAAGATAAACAATCACATGATCGGTAGTGTGTGATGTGTAATACACTGCAATAGCAAAGCATTGCAGGGTCTACTAGTTTCAAATAACTCTCTCAGTCTAGGTTTTACAGAAAATTCCCACCCAAAAACCTCACATATATTATACTTCCGTTCACATATTCTAAATACTAGCCATCAAAGGGTAAAAAGCATGAGAATAACTGATTTAAGAGATGTGACAAAACGTTAGAAAACAATTTTCTCATAAAAAAAACTTTTCTTAACTCAACATACATTTGTTTCAGCCAAAGGTGAAATAAAAATTAACTAGAACTGTTATCTTTCAAAGGTGCTTGTCTCTCAAGGCATGTTACAATACAGATATTTTCCTTGCAATTCTTTCCTTTTATCAATATTTCTTACTTACAAACCACATTTTTATAATATGAAATCTTGAGTTTATATAGCTGCAGCATTACAAAATATACGTCCACTTACAGAATTTTTTTTTTCTTTTATACTAATGTTGTTTGGAAATATCGTAACATTTCTACAGGAATACAATGAATATATCACTGAATATTATACTTAAAACAGTTCTCAAAAATCGTTTATACCAAAATTGATACACCAGTGATAAAATCATCCTAATTTGGTAAAATAATACAGGATTGAATATAATATGAATGCAAAGAGGCCACACTTATTTCCCTACTTGCTACTTACTGAATTGGACCTGGTCACTAGTTCCCAGAACCATTTTCCAGTCCAGCACATTTTATTTCTATTACATTAAGAAATTGGCAGCAAAATTATGAGCTTTTTGTGAATTGTCAATTTCATACAAAGAAGAAATTGTGAAGCAGTAACATTTTGGTGAACAGGTGGTCTCTGATAATTTCACCCGCCTGCTTTATTTGCCAAGTTCAAATCTAATTTTTGAAGTTTAAATGTCATTAAACTGGAGTGTGTATTAGTATACTACAATTTCCAAGATAATCTAATTTTCATTATACAGCCCTAAACTATTAGTTGTATTTACATCCAGTATCCATTACCTGTAACTTAATGTAAGCATAGAATATAGCAGAATATACAAATCTCACACCTACATTGTTTTAAGATCACACACAATACTTCAGTGCCATATGCAGTGTGCATCCAGTCAGTGTAAAATGCAGTAAACATATCGCTTTTCACAGCAGCAGTATGCTAAATGCTGTATGCAGATGACATATGGGTCGGTTATATTTTGACACACAATCATTTCAAAATAATCGTTCATCTAACTCAGACTTGTTGAAAGACTAGGTGCCATGCAAACAATTAGTCCCTAAATCTCAACAAAATTCAAGGGATGATCTTCTCCTATAACACAAACATGAATGATCAACCAATCAAATTCCTTGGACTTTTATGCAAGGTAAAATCTACAGTGGGGTTGCCTATAAATAGTATTTTACCCCAAGTTGCCCTTGTAGTGATCATGATTCAAAAACTTCAACACACAGTATCTAAAGAAATCCTCCCCTCTCCTTACTATGGATTCATTCACACTTTGACATATTGAATAATTGTATAGGGAAATAACCTGCATTCAAGTTCCCATTTTGTAGCATAAAAGCAGGCGAAAAGATTCATTGGCAAATAGGCTCCCAGAAGTCAACTGTAAAAACCGATTTATTGAACTTAAAATTATGTTCTTGCCCTGTATACATGCACACACTCAAAATATAATTCACCATCATCCCAAAATCAATGCTCTCACACAACCAGCTTTCACCTAAACACAATTACAAAACAAGAGACACTACAATAATGTTATGAAAACTCATTGTTGATACACCAAAACTTTGTAAATTCAAAGGCAGGTTACTCGATAACCTACCTTTAAAGATTCAGAATTTGGAGAATAAGAGATTTAGAAATTCAATTAAAAATGTGTTGGTCTGTGGGAGTTTTATAGTACTGAAGAATTATTTAATTTCAATTTCTAAGCACTGTACAAGAAGTGTTATTTTTAACACTTGGAATACGAAACTAATCAATGTTGTGAAATAATGTGATATAATTTAGTGCTATGTTGTTATAAGCGTGTATATAAATTGTTATGATTAATATTTGGGTTATATTGAGGTGTGTACTGTTCTTTTTGATCTATTTATGTACTACATTGTTATGGGTTCCATATGTACCATGTACAATATACTTCATATAGTTACCTTATTGTTTTGTTTAATTAATGTAAATATGTAAAATTCGCTATTTAACTATGGCAACTGAAGAAATGTAAACACTGAATTATGAAAATTGCTTTATACTACTAGCACTAATTAGTCTGATTAAAATATGATAATTTCATGAGTTTAGTTAACATTATATTTGTTCATCATAAATGTAGTTTCACCTTGAGAATATAGAGTTCTCTTTTGTTGGTTACAGGAGAAGGTTTCAGGTGGGTAATTTTGGGGAATACTAAAAACTCAAATCTTGTTGTTCTGCAAATATGATTTCTGTTACTCTGGCGTAAACATTTCTAATTTTCAAATATTGCCAACCACATTTGGTGGTACCTTAATTCACATTTAATCCATGTATGGTTAAAGTATGGGGTAGAGGATCTGGAGCACTACTTCTTCCAAACATCAAATGTCACATACAGTTTTCGCAGTTTAGACAATAAATAAATTAACAAAGGTATTTTGAAAAGTGCATCATATGAAGACAACAAATACAAATGGCACAAAGATTATACTTAATAGCAATTAATTCAGACATCTACAATACAATAATAATAATAATTCTGTGTTCACAGGATATAAGTTCTTAAATCCTTAAATAAACTTATTTACTTAAGAACTTTTTCACTGTGACCATAGAATTGAATTAAAAATAAATACCACAAATTGAGAAAATACATACTTTCCTCTCTTGAATAAGATTTTATAAAGTTTTATAAGCATTATATAAAGCATAGACATCACTTACTTGACTTTCTCCTTCTTGTACATCCAAACACAGTTTCTCTTGAATTTCCACTAATCGTACTTCACTTCTGTAATAACTTCCTAATTTTTCCTCTTCCCAAGCAGTATCTCCTCCTGCAAAATTACCACGTGATGTCCTCTCAATTCCCTGCAAAATAATAACACATACAACTCTCAACTCAATTGCACAACGTACAACAATAGATAAATAAGTAACAAATCATACCTTCTTGAACGAGTTTACAAACACCTTGCACACATCACATGGTGGAAGATTTACATGATTCTTTTTCGCAGTATTGAGGAGATCACAAGTGACTGCTGATACCAAAAATACAAGTATGTACAAAACTCGTAAATCCATTTTCCTAAAACAGAGATGTCTTCATGTATTCCTAGAAAATGTATGCTCAATTGTCATAATTTATACTAATCTTATTTATTTCAAAATCACACACACATATTAGATTTTCTTAAGCTTAATGCGTGCCTCCATTTAACTTCACTACTTACACACCTAACCTATTAACAATACTCGAATTTTTTAAATTAATGTTTTGTAGTATCTATTTTAACTTCTAATATATTCATAAAAAACAAAACGATGGAGGTTAGGTTTCCAAATAGTCCTAAATGTAACTATAGCATCGCATGAAATTTAATACCCTTTATATGGTTATGTAAATTTGTTGGTATCTTTTAGATAATATAATATAATCTTGATCGAACAGTATTTGCTAAATACCGGTAACATTTACCCTACAAAAATGTCCGACCTCTATAACTGAAAATAAACAACAAAACAATTTACCGTCAAGATCAACTACTTCGCTCAGGAAACATCACACCACATTCCAAATTTGTTACATTGTTACGGAAAGGAAGCACCGACCATTCACACGCTGACACATCTTGAGGTACTCGTGTCTACCATAACATTCATTGTATTCTCCTGGGTAGGTGGCAATATATTTACGTATGGCCAACGGCGAAAATCCACGTGTCATTTACGTCGAGATAAATTGGTGGATTTCCATTTGCTTCCATTCTATAATACAAACGTGAATCTGACGAAATATTTGTGAACATAAAAGGGAAAATGTATAAACACTATCGTATAAGAGCATGTCTATTCATTTTTCTAAACCCAAATATTTGCATATTACATTGGCAACATCGGTTAACACTTCGCCGAGGGTGATTCAAACGCAATGAAAAGTATCCCACTATCCGTAGACTGTCATAGAGATTTGTTTTTGCATTTTTAGTTCAGATTTATTTTAGACAGTTATTTTTAATTAAACATATTTAAACTAAAACACACTAATCAGAAACCATCATTTAGATTGAAGAACATTTTTATTTAAAGTATTTACAGGCAACAGTACAACTGGTGTACCTTGAATTATCACTATCCTGATTTATAATTGGCATATTGTGTGTTATACATTAAATGTGTTTTAGTGATAGCAAAGGTTAATGAGTTACAAAAAGCCGAAAGTACCAGTAGTAGTTTCAATTAATTTCAATTTATTAAAATGTTCTCTTAATTTTGAAGCTTTTCACATTTCAAGGACTACTTTCTCTCTTTTTCAGGAGTATTCAGCCACTTTATAACTTGTACTACAGAAGATGAATGGAGGTTATCGATGAAACTCCTTTTCCACATGAAGACTGGGCCAATTATTGGGTTGAAAGTGTAGTTAATTGTTCTATAGCACACTTTCCAGACTTGTGTGATTCGTATTCCACTGTCCTCAGACTGTCATAGAGATTCCTGTTTTTGGAATTTGAGTCCAGATTTATTTTAGACAGTCATTTTTAATTAACATATTGAAGCCCCCCCAAAAAAATATTAATCAGAAACCATAATTTAGATTGAAAAATTTTATTAAAATGTTCCCTTAATTTTGAATCTTTTTACACCAGCTTTCTTCAATCTAAATTATGGTTTCTGATTAATGTGCTTTTGGTTTCAATATGTTAATTAAAAATGACTAATATAAATCTGGAGTAAAAATCTAAAAACAGCAATGAACAACTTCATTGACATCTACTGAATTTGTATTTTAATACTGATGCCTGATAAATATGTTGGATAAAACATGTACTTACAATGAAAATATTACATTTTAATTTGCTCTCCGATTGGCAATAATCAATGTTAAGGCATCTTAAATTCATAATTTGAATTTAAAAGATAAAATAAAAACTCTTTTGCTAAGTACCCATCACTTGGAAACGAGAGACCACTGTTCCACCATCTTCCGTTGCCTCTTCCCCGAATTGACTCCCCTTAGTTGATTTTTTGAAAAAGTTGTTGAAAATGTTTACAAATCCCTATAAACATGTGAAATATTTGGTAATATTGTACCAAGTGGTCTATTTAATTTAAAACATTGAAATACCTTGAGAAATGTGCAGTACACACAAAAAATACCTAAAATTAAAAGTTAAAATTTTCGAAGGGGAACACCTACTCTACAATTAGTCCTCCACTCTCTGAAGAGCTTGGGCAACAGGATACGTTAAGAACTTTAATCGAAAGACCATTTTACTTTTTCACCTTACTATGTTATTGCATTATATACTACATACACTTAGTATGTAGAAATGCGAGAAAGTAAATGATTAAAGATGTTAATTCTCGATTAATTTAAATAAACAATTTAAACAATTCAATTTAGCCAAAATAATAATTAATATAATTCTCAATCATAAATTATTTAATAACTTAAACAATTGCTTCGAATTTTATTATAAAGTTTGTCATTGATTAGTGTAAAGGAAACCTAAGATGTAGGTCATTTTCCATGAAAACCCTCATATTTCAAAAATTGCAAACTTTCAATTTGTTTTTGGCGTTTTCCTACCACGACAATGTTGAAGATAGAGAATTTATTCCTTAATAAAATCTGTTTTTTTAAAGACAGATCTTGAAATAACATGTACAATTTTTCGAAAAGTTTTTTGGTAATTTTGAGTGAAATATAGATCATTTTTAAAGAATTTTTTCTCAAAACAGTCACTTTTTTTATTTTCTCCTTGCAAGAGTCAAGAAACGGTAAAGAAATTGGCGCTAGTCCAATTTCCGGCAAAAAGGTCACAAAATTGGATACAACAATTCAAAAACTACAAATTTGAAGATAGATTTCGCCCTAAAAATGTTTTAAACAATTAGATTAATAAAAAATCACAAAAATCATGTGCAATTTTTTGAAAAAACGAGTAGTTTTCGCATACATTAAGTTTATTTATGATTACCTATAGCAACGTGCTTTTTGGAAAAGTTGATATGGAAAATATTCGCTACTGTATAATAGAAATTATTTGCAAAGAAAAATCAGATACGGGTTTGGACTATTACCCCTAGAGCTTTACGTTCCACGATAAAGTGGAAAACAATTTTATGAATATCTACATTCCCGAAACAGCTAAAAAAAATTAAAAAAACGCGTATACAAGTTACTTTTACGCGAAGTTACTTTTCTGTTCAGAAGCAAAACAAGGGCCATTCTCAGTATTTGCGCAAATGATTTGGGAAACTGGATGAAAAATATTATCATAATGGGGGGGGGTGCATTGACACAAAAACGGAGATATAATACTTGTTACAGACATATTCAGACGTCTAAAATTTTACAGTCTAACTAATACATTAGATATCATTGTTAAAACCAGTACCGGGAGAGGTGGCTCAGGGTATCAACTGAAGTCAAGAATCTTCAACACTAGCCAGAAAGCTAGGTCTAGTTCTGTCGCTGTCTTGAGCAGAATTCTAGCGGCTGGCTGCTCTGATCGGTAGTTTTCCGAGGTTTTCTCGATCAACACCAAACAAATGCCGGAGCAGTACCTTAACAAACGGCCCATGGACCGCGCGTGATCTTTCCTTCCTCTTCTTTGTCCTACCCTTATCCCTTACATACACACACTTATACGCACTACAGTAACACGCCGGGCGAATGGTCAGAGGGCTTAGAGCTTGTCCTGGCTGGGGGCGGTATCCAGTTGGAGGGAGATACCTGATTGGGAAAAAACCCGCTAGCCGACAGGTAGGTCGGCGCCGAATCTCTCCATCCAGCGGAGGAAGATCACCTCCCTAGGAAAAAACATGTACTACAACTAAACCTAACCTAACGAGACCGATGACCTAGCAGTTAACGCGCCCGGAATCATCAATCAATCAAGAAAATCATTGTTAAAACGAATATTATTTTCCTTTTTGATGCTCAGTGTAGTTTCTAATTGGGTAGAAACAGTTATGCAGCGGAAAATATTTTACTTGGCACTTAAACTTGTGTATCAATTTTAATTGTTTAACGTCATCTGTGAGCTGTAAAATAATGACGATCTTAATTTTTTTGCAGTAGACTATTGATACTGACACCTGATGCATAAGATTTCAATATCGAGTTCTACAGTTACAGACATCTGTATTGGTAAGAAATATGTTCCCGCCTTGAGTAGATCATTCTTTTTACAAAGACCACTGAGTCGTAAATCATGAGGCAAATCAATGGTAGAATTCTTACCTTAAGCAAGAGATGTTTATAAGAATCACATGGGTGTGATTTGCTTATTTTTCATACAATTCTTTTCTGTAATCTAAAGGTCTGGGAGCTATGATATGTTTCCCTAAAATATTATGTCGAACCTCAGGCAGAACTATTCACTAAATATACACAACAAGCAACTTAACAAGCAACAAGCAACTGATTGAATTTGAAAGAATTCTGAATGTGTAGCATAATGAAATTAATTTTGTAATGAATTCATTTAAATGAATGTTCTATTTGAGGTTTCATTGCATAGAGAGACCCCAAAATTTTGTTGCCTTATATCAGTCAATGGCACGTCGTTCATAATCAATGGATTGAACAACTGTTTATTTGAAATGGAAAACTGCGTTGAAACATCGCTTACTATTTATTTGTAATTTCGGAATAAATTTTAAACATCTGATATTGTAATAGACACTGCTTCTTTATTGTTAAAAAATAGATGTATCATCAGCAAAGGAAACTATCCTCCCGTCTCAAATCATTGAGGACATTTCGTTTACGAATAGTAGGAAGAGAATATGTCTTAAAATTGAAGCCAGCGGGACCCTATGTGCAATTGGCAACAAGTAGGAAAGGTGAGAAAATAACGTCCCCTTCATTCCAGTACGATATTTCTACTCTCTGAGATCTCTTCTCTCTTGTTTAAATTCACGGATAGTAAAAGGTAAGCTTAGAAGAATGGCGGGATCTCCTTTTTGTTGAACACAATGAATTTTCGAAAATCACGGCAGTTAGAAATATGCCTAATGTGAGAAATGCCTAGTGCTATTGTATCACCACTAGTTTTCTTGAAAGAAAAGAACGAGTAGTTGTTGTGTAAATTCGTTTGGAAGTTAACGCAATTTATAAAAAAGGATCTGAAATACGGCATCAATTTTTACTTTCTCGCTATGGAGTAGAGAGGAAGTTATGAAATGCTGCGCGAAAAAACAGCGAATTTCTGGCAGAAAAACTCGTATTATAGGGCCCTGGTAACGAAAAAGTGGATAAAACCTGTTGCTATATTTAGGAAAAAATCTCTAGCACGTATGTATGTATATATATATATATATATATATATATATATATATATACACACACACACACACATACACACACATACATAGATGGATAGATATATTCAATTTATGCGCGCATTCGAAATTAGTAATATAGGCCATCGATCATGACTTGTTCTATTTAGCGTAGATATTTTCACAGCAATTTGCGTTTAGATGTACACATTGTCAGTAATTACTCTCGGTCATAAATATTTGTCTCAAAGGGGCAATAAAACAAATAGGCCAAACAACTTTTGAAACTATCTTTTTGCATTCACTGCGATTTTTACTTCGCACTAGATACTTTCCATGCTAGGGGTAATACATTGTTCCAAAAAACGTTCCCACAATTTTTTAAGGTTTCAGATAACTTAAAAAAATGATATCGTATACCCCACTCTCTTAAGGATGTGTGAATGTTAGAATAACCAT